GACCGCTCCTTTGGCGCGCTGCTTTCCGTCCGGGCGAGCCTCGCCTCGCCTCGCCTTCCCTTCCCCTCCTCGCCGATTGGCCAGTTCTTTCCCGTTCCTGACCATTCCCTTCGGCCTCTCCCGTTGACGTTTGACGGCTTGGGAGCGTGCGGTTGGCGCCGCGCGCTCGCCAGCCCCTCCGCTTTGTCCACGTCCAAATGCTCTAGCCCCGCCCCAAGCTCGTGCTACAGCGCAGGGAAGACGAGGCCGCGAGCTGCCGTCTTGCGCGCGAGGCCCGGCGACGGAGCCGCTCGGAGCGGTCGCGGCCATGGCGGCGCCGCCGCCGCGAGCGCCGGGGAGCGCCGGAGGACGGTCGCGCTGGCCGCTGCTGCTGTGGGCCCTCCTGGGCCTCTGCCTGCGGCCGGCGGAGGCCCTGGTGGAGGGGCTGTACTGCGGGAAGCTGGTGTGCTACGACGTGCTCGGCGTGGGCCGCGACGCCAGCAAGGCTGAGATCGCCCGCGCGTACCGGCAGCTGGCCTTGCGCTACCATCCGGACCGGCAGCGGGAACCCGATCCGGATGGCAGAGGAGCCGAGAGCGCCCAGGAGAAGTTCCTGCTGATCGCTACCGCCTACGAGACCCTCAAGGTGAGAGAGCGGGGCCGGGACCGCCCCCTCCCTCCTCCCGGCCTGGGCGGATGCCTCCGGTAAGACACGCACCCTCCCCCTCCCTTTCTGCGAACACGCGCCGCTTCCCGCCGGTCGCCTTGAGAGGATGGAGCCGCTGTGGGTGACAGGAGCGGCTGACGCCAGAAGCACTCCCCGCTTGCTCGCGCCCCGGAGCAAGCGTTTCCTGCATGGCTTAATTGCAGGCCCCTTCGCCCCCGATCCCTGTGTGCGGGCTGGCGGGGGATGATGCAAAGTGTAGCCCAATGTTTCTGGAGAATGCCGGGGCTGTTGTGTACATGCCACAGGGGTCAAGTTAGGAAAGGTTAGTTAAAATGGAAGAGGAGCTCTGCTGCATCGTATTACAAGTCGGTCTAATCCCGCAGTCTGTTTTCCCATATTAGTCAGCTGGATAGTAATCAAGAAACCTGTCTGGCTGTTGCTGGAAGGCTTCTTCAGGAGGGGTCCTACGGAAAGACGTCCGCTTCAGCAATTAAATGGAACCTCCCTGCATAGAAGCAGCATATCTGGATGCCAGCTATTAGGGACCGACAACAAGAAGGGAAGATGGATTCTTTTGTACCATAGCTGTGGGCTGCAGGTGCATTTGCCTAGCAGCTCTAACAAATAGCATCTGGCTAGACAGATCTTTGGGTTGTCTCCACACAGCGGTTTTCACGGTCTTAGAACATGAGAAGGGAAGAGGCCTTGCAGAAAACTTTTTAAATTAAAACTCTGTAAGGCTTTTCTCTGCTCTGAATCTTTGACATGTCTATATTAGGATTTGAAATGGGTATCACATCATGCAGATGTTTAAAGTGTTCCATGTCCTTTAGTATTTGGTACAGCTCTGATGTAAGGGTGTGACTTGTCTTTATCCCCAAATTGCAAGAGAAGGCTGAAGTTCAAACAAGAGGGCTTTGAGACAGGTTATTGATCTGGAGTGGATATTTCCTAATAATGGGAAACAGTTGTCATAGATTTAAGATGTCCTAGATAGAGCCTTTGGCTTGTATAATCCCACCTCTGCTAGATATGCTCTCTCAGGTGTACTGCTGTGAACATGAAGTTTAGGCATTAAAGTGATCCTGTCCTCTAAACTTTATGCAGCAAGAGACTTGTGACTGTTTTTTTTTTAATTACTTCTGATTGTGTGTCAGGGTATCACATTTGGTCATATGGCAGGAGTGGGTCAACTGAAGAGGTGAGGTAGAGAATCAGATATTCATGGGTGAGTCTAAAGTAGCTCTTTAGATTGCACCAGGCAGTGTATAGAATGATCCCAGCATTATGGAATATCGGTAGTCAACAGCATCATTAGTTGTTCCCAATAATTTGAATTGGAGATTAATAAACACAGGATGAAAGCCAGCACTCAGGTGAACATAATAAAGTTCCTCAAGCTTGAGAGGATTTGAAAAAATGAGTCAGGAGCATTATTTTTGGAGGTCCCAAAAAGCCAAGTTGGGGATCTTTTAAAATGTGCCTGCTTGATAGGCTGAAATCCAAATCTAACTATGAATTTCACTTTTCCTCTCCACTTTCAATTATGTTGGTGTGTTTTTAAGACGATCAGATTTATAGTTTTCCCCATTCAAAATGTTTGATGAGGACTGAGAATGTTTTTAGAAAAATTTTCAACCATGGTAGGTAATTGTAAACAAGGCTTCCATGAAGGACTTCAAGTAGTAAAGAATCTTTTGAATTATTAAATATAGGTAACGTCTGACTTTGTGGACTATAAAAATACAGGAATTGTCATACAGGCTGGTAAGTTATGTTACAGAAGTTTAATTTAGGAATCAATTCTAACAGAAATACTCCTGTTTCCACTTTTAAGATGGGTCAGACACTAGGTGGGCCATAGCTTCGTGGTAGAATTTCTTCAGTCCTACCTATGTGTAGCATGACAAAAAGCAAGTCACATATTCAACATCTTGCATTTCCAATAGGAATTTAAAAAATTTCTGAAATGAATAAAGAGCAACTGCCAATCATAGTTGGCAAACTAACTTTATTGATATTACTTATT